CTAACTATTCAACTTCAACTTGAACAATTCTCATTCAACATTAAATTCCGCTAATTATGCGTTGGTCTGTAGAATTAAAAAAAGTGAAGGAAGCATTTAAAGAGAAAAACAAGTAAAAAAAAATTAATTGAAACCCAAAGAGTAAGGCAAACATAGATGAAGGCGCACGCTTTCAATTAAAGTGACTCCCCTTTTTTGTATGGGCAGAGAATGAATGAAACAATTTGTCGTCACTTGGAATTTTCATTTATGCACGGATGACAATTGTGCAACAATAGCAATTGCATGTGGCAGGCGTTGACGAGGAGCGGCATGAGTAGAATGCTACCATAAATTGTTTGAATAGCTACAGAATTGTGGCTGTAACGAATGATGCAGCAACTTGGACGCCCAAACGACCGTTCACCGTACATAGCATAGACCAGATGCAGGATGTGCAACGCACCATCAAGCAACTAACCAAAGAACTAATCGACGCCTGTATTGCTCACTGCTCATTGCTCACTGTTCACTGCTCATTGCTCACTTTTCATACTGCCTCGCCATCATCCTACCATCCTACCATGCAACTAACGCAACCATCGCAATGCTATGTGCGCTTTCAACTATTTGACGAGTATGAATGGCATTCAAGATTAATTGCTGCTAATTAAGTGACTTTTTAATTCGTCTTTTGCCTCTTGTGACTTGCCACAAATGCTGCTAAAGTTTTTTACAAGTGTGTTGGCACTATTTTTATGCGAAAGCGAAGTTTGCAAAAAAAAAGTGCTGCAGAAACGAACTAAATCCATAGTTTGTGTGATTTTGTTGGAGTGTTTGTTTGCACTGAATTGTGCTACTTGGTCTTGTTAGAACTGTCAAGCACAAGTGACATGCATGCTTGGCTGTACGTTCACTTGTGTAGTTGTGTGTACATGTGCGTATTTTTATTTTTTTATTTATTGCTGGTTGCAAAGTTAGTAAAGTGCAAACAACGCTGTATGCAACAAAAAAACTGAAGTGAAGTGGTTTTTTCACTACACTGAGAAAAAATGTGGCATCATTTTCAGAAAAAAAAAAACAAACTAACAAAAAAATGGTTTATGCATATAAAAAATGACAGCAAACACAAGAGTGGCAAGCAGCAAAGTGAGAAAAAACCGAGTTGATCCTTACAACGTCGTCGTACACTTCAAGGCATGGCAAACAAATCAATCTTTCGGTTTGCATTTGTTCATGAAGTACAAAGCGCAACAAAAAGTGTTGCAACTCGTTAACATTTTGCGTTTATTTGTTTTTGGTGCGCTGCGGCTTTTTCTTGTGCTTCTTCTTATTCTGCAGCTCCACTTCTAAATTGTTGCTACTTTTTGCCATACAAGTGCAATGCAACATTTGCTGCATTTCGCTTTTGTGCTAATGCACCATTTCACTTTGCAACTTTTCTTGAATGTCTGCTCCGATTTTGTTGCTGTTACAGTTTTTAGTGCCTTTTTGCGATCTTCAGGCTGCATTCTTGCTGACTGGCTCCTCTATTCATGCCGCTATGTGTTAGGAGAATGCGCTGCAATATTCAGGCAATGCGGAAATTCCTTTCAAATACTTTACGACATTGCGGGTGCTTTTGACATTGTTTCGATAATTAATACAAAGCGTGCTAAGGAATTATTATATTGCTTAAATGTTTCTCAAAATAATTACAAGCATGTCTTAAGGAGGCCAAGAATTTCTTTCTCCAATTAACTTCGAAGAAACAAACGATTTTCATATGAAATAAAACAATATTTTCACAAAAACAATAAGTAATCCTATAATACCAAGTAAATATTCAAGTCATGAAATATTATAGCTTTAAATATAATTTTATAAAGAGGTTTTTTCGAACTGTAGTGAACTACAACAACAAAAATTCCTTTTTATATTATTTTAATTAATTGAATTTTTGGCTGACCATACAGCTGTTTCGAGTATTGCCAAATACCCATCATTAGTGGTCTTGGAAATAATTCTTGTATTTAATTATTCGTAAATAATTATTTTTGAGACTGCAAGTACCAGGATTCGAACTCCGGTCCTGCCAAATGTGAAGCTCAGAATCAGCGCACCTTAACCAACTGATCCAAAGCCGTACTTGATAAAATATACTTTCATTAAAAAAAGAAAATTCATATAATTTTACAATTAACTATTAAGAGGTTTCGAACAGTAGTGAATTGTAACAACAAAATTTTTATTTATTTTTAAGTCATTGAATTTTTGGCTAGTCATACTGTTTCACTGTAACGAGTAATTCTGTCATCAAAGGTATAGGAATTATTTCATACATTGAATTATACTTCAATAATTTTTTGAGACTGCATGTAGCAATGGCTGAACACATACTCTGCCAAATTTGCAGCTCAGAGTCAGTGTTCATTAGCCAAATTACACAAAACCGTACTTGACTTGTATTTTCAAACTTGGAGTTTTGTTAATTTGCTGTGAAAGTTCATTAACAATTTCACCTGCTGTATTGTATTAGAACGAAATCATAAATGAGTTCACTACTGTTCGAAACCTCTCTATTAAATACAATAGTTTCTATTGACTAAAATAGACACTACTATTATAACTGACGTTAAAATGAAATTTAATGTACAATTCAATATATAAATCATTAAAGGAGAACATTCAATTGCTTATGCAAAAATGCTCATAAAAACTTTAATTGTTATTATTATAATTGTTAAAAACAGTAGAGTGGCAAACCTCAAGATATATTATACCATCACTAGAGAAAGTCTCATTATCTAACTATGGTATTTCTAACATAAAATAAGGCTACTAATAAACCTTACAACTTTCTTTTTATGAAATCTTCAAAATTCTTTCTGCTTGATGACCGTCATATAAATGTACTTTACTCATATTCTGTCAATCTCAGTTTATGACCAATGAAAATGGGTTAATGTTTTACTTAATGGCGTTTTTCAAAATTAATGGCTAACAAGAGTTTCTAGAACTAAGAAGCTAATAATAAATTTTAGTAGCTATATACTCGAATATAAATTAGAATTGAATAACAAACACGAGAAAAAAATAATTTTACTTAGTTCCGCTGTACTTGAATTTGATCTCAAAACTTAACAGCAATTGTTCTTGATTCAAATTAGCTCTCTGGATTCCTTTAATTCTTTGGCATCAAACATTGACATCAAGAAAACTGTAGTTTGTCTGGAAATGGATAATATATCGAAGAAACTCCCCTTTAAGAGCATTTAAGGCTTTGCTTGAGGTTTAGGGTGGTCCAATATACATAAGTAAGACGGATTGTCGCCATTACATCTGGGTATATGAGTACAAAAGCTACAATTTTAGTAAATACTTAAATCAATTATGCCAAAATAGCTTTATTGAAGTTTTCTTCTAGATAGTGACCAAAATATTAATATAAATTGATTACCATATTGCATTCTAGATTACTTATATGCTTAGAGTGCTTAATCCGAATTTAAAAATAAGATTTAATAAATATTGGCTGCATTGTAATTGCATACTCAGCAGTGGTCTTTATACTTGATATATTTTTTAGTCATATTATATAGTCATGTATATATGGATACTCCTCCTAGTTAAAGAATTAAATATATATATATATATATATTATATAGTCATATAATAGCCTGTTGTCGGGTTTCGTTCTAACATACCAACCCCATCTAGGCGCTTTTGCTGCATCGCGTCTTCTCCAGTCTCGTACATCCAAAGCTGTACGTGTTCCTTCAACTTGTACATTTCATCGGTGACACAGTCTACCCCTGTGACTTCTTCTTCCATCCATCGTCATATTTTCTTATGACACGACCTGAAATTGAAATTGTATTACTTAAAGGAAAGTTAGCTATTTCAAATAGAAATATTTAAAAATATTAAAAATATTTTCTATTTTAGTTTGATTTTAATAACTTTATAATTAAATAAAAGTTTTAAATTTTATTTATAATTTTTTTTTAATATTTTTTTATAGTATTATTTTTATATTACTGCACTCCAGTAATAAAACTAAATCTAATCAGTTTATTACTGGAGATGTTAGATATAATCTAATCAAAAATTGAAACAAATAGGTCAAAAAATTATTATTTTCCTCTGAACTTTCTAAACTGCACTGTAACCTATAAAAATACAATGCATAAACAATAGATTTATATATGAAATATATAAAAGTCTTGACTTTGTCAATTAGTAGTGCTTATCGTATATCAAATTTTTCTTGCCTTTCCCATTGAACGAGCTCTCAAATCAACAATAAACTCTCAATCTACATTGATTTATGACTTATAAAAACTATAAAAGAAACCGTGATAAGTAACACTTAAGTAACACTAACATAATTTATATTATGTACTTATTAACTACAAATAAAAAAAAAATCATTAAAACAATTAAAATAAGTAATTAAACTAACGGTTGGAGAGATTGACGCGGTTAGTTTATGAGACTGTTGGGATTATTGATTTATATCTGACGTATAAACATATTTCTTCAGGAAACTATTTTCGAAATACTTGATGGAACATAATCCATTCAAATTTGGTTTTCTAATACTCATCATCTCCAACTGCTTATGATAGATTTTCAGTTAAGATAGAAATTAAGTGTAAAAGTGAACGTGAAGGATTTATAACAGCAACATTGTAGGTATATGGATAATAGGTTAAATCTGAAATGACTCTACTACCATGGAAGTATACAATTTTATTAGATTGAAAAGCTTAGAGAAATTGCAAAGCCTGTGATTTCATTGTGTTGAGCAGCAGAAAAGAATTGCTATCAAAACAACTTTAACCAACTTAACTATCAATCAAATTTATATTTATATACTTTAATAAATTTATATACTCTTGTATTTTTAAAATTTTTTTAACATTACCTTCAGTATTTTCATCAAATTATTATATAAGTAAATTCATAGATATATATTACTTTTTTAATACTATTAACCCCTTTTTAATTTTTTTTTCATTTTCAGTTCAATTCTCTACACTGCCAAGTAAATAAACCATTTGAGTTTTAAAGCTCTGAATACTGCCAACGAATTTAACAAACCTCAGTTTAATTTCCTTTACCAACATGTGCCATGGAGAATTGTTTGGGTGGCAGCAGACGCATTCACAAAGCACAAAAAGAATTGCAACAATTAAAAGTCAAGCAGCATCAGCATCAACAGCAACACATAACAACAAATCAAAATTTTTACATACAACAACAACCACAAATTCATCGTCAAGCGCCAACAAAACGCGAACAATCATACACTCAAGAGCAGCAACTGCTGCAAATCCAACAGCAACAACAACTACAACAACAACTACAACAACAACAGCAACATCAACAACAACAGCAGCAGCAGCAGAGTCAGCATGTAGAGCAAGAGCAAAAATTCACTACACCACCAATGTCGACAACACCTAAATTTACCGCCGATTGTTTGCATTTTCCGCCGCCACCGAATTATCCACCACCGCCAAAAACACCGACAAACACGAAAACAATGTCCAACGTGAATGTTACAAAAACAACAGCAACAACAACGGCAACGGCAATAACAAAAGCTAATGTTAATGCAACCTTGCATCACCATCATCATCATCAACAACAGCAACAACAGCAACAACAGCAACAACAGCAACAACAGCTACAACAGCTACAGCAGCTACAACAACATCAGCAGCTCCACCACCAGCACCAACAACAACAACACAATCAACAAGAAGTGCAATTGCAAATGCAACAGCAAAGACTGCATGCTGCTGCTCCCGCAATAATAAGTGGAACAAATGCAGTTGCTGGTCTTGTGCAACAACATCAAATGTCGGCATTGCATATTGACAGCACAATAGAAGCTGCCACAGTTGCCGTAAATCACTCATCCTCATCGACATCACCTTCATCATCATCAGCGACAAGTGGCACAACCATTGGTATCAGTCCATGCGGACGCCGACATATATTGCCACGGTATCCTGACCCTGATCCAGATGCGATTGAAATATGCAACGAACAGGAGCCCATCAACGTGAGGGTAACAAGAAATAGTAAGACCTTAGGTCATACGCATCAACGCGTCGACATGCAGGACAACAAATGGTCAGCAATGCAACAGACCACAAGTATGCAATTGCTGCAGCAACATGCACACGCACACACACATGCACACACGCAACATGATTACTCATATGCATATTATGAACCGGGTGCGGCGATGCGGCACTCCAATATACCACCACCCGAACAAGTGGCTACACAGTCCGCACTGCGTGTACCACCGCCGCCAAACTCAATCCGTGCGTTGCTATCGAAAGGAAAGAAAAATAAATTACTTGTGTCGCCTGCAACGCGGCAGTCATACCAAACGAGACTTGGCGCAGCGCTCAACACAAATGGCGCAAGTAATTGCAATGCTGTAAACGGTAACTCAGGTGGCATACAAGGCGAAAACTTTTACGAGGAAATCTCATCAAATGAAGCGCGACAACAATTGCGTTCAACAGCAACTTCACACTCGGCAGGTTCATTAAATCAATCGTTGGTAGAGGAGGAGTTCAGACGTGTGCAAAACAGACATCACAAAATATTAGGTGAACTAAATTTATCGGTAGAAGCTATGCTCATGCCAGAGAGTCCACCCAACAACAGTCCGACAACACGTGAAGCGCCCACTGTTAGCGTAACAGCAACGTCTGGTCAGCCTGCAATTAGTGCTGCTGCTATGGGATTGCGTTTGTCATCCACTTCAGCGGATAATATCTGTGATAGCAATCTGTCAGAGGTATTAAACACAGTGGGTCCCACCGATGACCTGCTATCGCCCATACAAGCTACGGCAAATGCTGCCTTTTGTGGCGACCTCGACAGTGGTTTCAGTGGCAGCTCTGGCGCCAGTTATATTGGTAGTCTGCGTTTGCACAAGACTAATGCAGCACTTTCGCACTTAATGAGCACACGACAAGCAGCACAAGATGCCATGGTTACGGCAATGCCGCCCTCGGCTTCCTGTTTGTTCAACTACTCAATGCATAATAACAAAACATTTCAACGTGCCACAAAACAAAACATACATGACGATGACTCCACGTCGGGATTTCTGACTCGCGCTTCTTGTGGTCGTCGCATACTTAACTGCGCTAAAATACGTGCTGCCGAAGATCCTGGACCTGTGGTGCCAACAGAGTCTAAAGCGCGTAGCTTTTGGAACCGCAAGGGTTGGCGTAAGTTACCGGGGTTTTCGTCCACTTCAAGCATAAATGACGCTGGATTAACAGGTAAGTGACCAGATTATACTTTTGTTATATGCACAAATAAAAGGGAAAAGTGATGGGAAGGCCAGAAAGTATGCGACGCATTTATAATGCAACATTGTTAAAGAATTTTAATTAAAATGTCAGCAAAATACACAATTCCAATAAATTTAAGTTGCATTATAATGTCGTTTAAAAAAAATTAATATATTTAAAAATTTCAATAAGTAGGTGGAGAGATTTGGTAGAGTTATAATACTGGTAGGCAAATAGTTTAAGGTTTTATAAAATAGTGGTCGAGGTAAATTTAATAATTTATCTTATAGCTTTTAAGTTCACATGAATCTAATATAACACGAGATCATGCATAGACCCAATAGATCCGTATTGATACCATATTGAAGTCCTTAACTACAGTTGTTGATAGTTTGTATCAATTAAAATTTGTGTGTCATTAACAAATTTGAGGTGACAACATTAAACCTCTAACATTACGGCTGAAGTACAGCGCCTTAAAGCTAATAGATAATCTTTTTAACTATATTTGAGTACTTTACTATTTTCTGAAGAAGTGAAGGAATGAGCACATGGATGAATCACTTAAATATGATTACAAACCGATTTAATTCACAAATAGAAAATATTTTTCTAATATTTATTTCGATTTAGTTATTGTATGCTATCGTTATATATTTACAACTTATAATTCTTATTAGCTTTAAATCCATAAAAGCATAAATACACTCCGTTACAAGTTAAAGTAAATTAGTTTAATATTTGATATTAGTTGTGAGGTTGTCTGTCATTGGAGCTGGTACTTTCACCCTTTACCTTCTGTAATTGTGTATATTCTAAATCCATAATAATTACTTGGAAAATTAAAAGAAAAATAGACAATAGAGTTTTTATGTTAACTGAAGTTTGTTTTTAGTGACTTCTTTTTCATATATATTTATATTATTATTAATGAGAAATTTAATATTTATAAATTTCCAATAAATGTCTTTAAAAATGAAAATCCATTCAATTACTTAAAATTAATGTTTCATTTATAATTTAAATTCAATTTGCATATATTTTTTATTGCATCAAATAAACAATACATCATTTTCGTTAAAAAGATAATGTACTGAAATTATGAAATATTCAATTTTTATTTTTGCATTTGACTTCGTGACTGCGAATCGAATCCGTCTGAGTTGGATATTTTTTTGTTAAATGCATTCTATAAAGTGCAAGATTAATCAATAAATTTTCATATTAGAGTTTAAAATCGAAAGTATGAACGTAATTTCATAAAAGCTCTTATTACGAAATTAAGAGTGGTGTAGTTAGAAGGGGATGGAAGAAAAGCTAATACTAAGACACTGTTTACGGAATGCATTAAACCAGATTAATGATTTAAAACGTATGAAACTGGTTTCATAATGCATTTAATGCAATTTTATTTGATTTGAATTAATTTTAGTTTTTAATTAATTTTTTTGAAACGCAGAGTTGCATTTGAATTTGCTTAAGGGTTTTGTCTTTCAAATTAGTGCACAATATTTTTTGGTTTCAAGTGAATTAAACTTCTGGCCTTTTTAAATTTACATATTGGCATTATTGTTTTCAGAATCATAATCTTCACACAAATAAAATTTAAATATAACATTCGAATATATAACTTGCTTAGTTGGTGTGAACACCACTTTTACTTAAACAAGTTTAATCCATTTTCGTTAGTTTAACACTTAATTAGTCTTCGTAGTTATTCTATAATCAAGTGCTATATTTTTATCATTCCTAATGAGTCGAAGTTTCTTTCTTCTCCTCATTCATGCTATAATGAGTTTAGGCCTAAATATATATTTTTTTTATCTCTCCAACTTCATATATGTGTTTCAGTTTGCTGTAAATTGTAGGTTGCATCATCTGAAATCTTTGGACTTAATTTTATTCGTAGTTATCTTTTTATTTAGTGTATACGTTAGTTTTTCAAAGTAGTGAAGAAAAATTCACTGGTAGGTTTTCTTTGCTACTAAAAGTTAGGCATCAATTTCGCAGACAGTTCTGAAGTCTCATGTGGTCAGTTTGAAAGTAGATATGGTAATTCCGACATGGTAATTCTACATATAATATCATTCATTATTATATTAAAAGAAATTTGTTTGAAATATTTTTGGGGAAACCGTTGTCTTTCACAAAACCTTCGTTAGTTTTCCTCAACAGATGTATTTTTTTTTTTTTGATTATCAACTATCAATCTATTCTGAAAATTTTTTGTGATTTGATGTATACAAATTTAAGATATATGCATAGATTATTGCATTATCATGGAGTTAACATACGAAAAAAATTTTTGTTATATAAAATTTCAGGTGATTATAGAATATATTAGGTTAGGTTATACAATTTTCGGAGGTAGTATATAGTGATATCCTATCTATTATTATCCTATCTATTATATTATATTTGTTATCTATTATTATGCTTTTTTATATTTATGTATATTGCCAAAAGAAATGAATAGGTTCGCCGATATGTTTACAGCCGAGTTATGAAGATGTAACTCAGGATCTGAATGAACTAAATATTTTTAATTGATCAACTCAAAATGAAAAATTAATTTGTCTACACTTAGAAAAATAACTTGGTTTATTTAATTTAGTTTTAACTAAATCTCAGGTTTAATATGTTAGCAACTTGATCTACCAAATGCGTCATTAATATTGTTCATCAAAATCTGTGAAATGTTTCTCTGTATATCATATAAAAATTTTCTTTAATTTGAGGTTATATGTTTTCGATTCTTAAAGGTGCATCGTTCAATATGCAAACTTATGTATCAATATTATTAGCTAATAGCTTCAATTCTTTTCAACTTTTATGCATACGTGACATTTCTATATCTGTTTGTCTTCCCCGAGTATGCGAACTTAATATAAAACTTATGTTTTTAAACTAAAAAATCTTTAGTGATGTCCTTCAGGATATATAAGTCCGGAAGAGTATGAAGAGTATCTCAACTATGGCATTGTAAACTTGTTAAGTGGACACTAAATACAAAGTAAACAAAAATTGTGACATTAGAGGACTAATTTTCATTAATTGATTTTAATTTTCATAAGTTTAAATTTTCATTAATTTTAATTATTATTAATACTTTAATCCAGAGCTGTACAGACTAGATGCGTTCGCGGGCCAATACAAATTACTGTACAGATTGTAGGGTCGCAGAAACAAATATATAAGTTCATAGTTATTATTATAAATACATTATAACATTTTAAATAAGTATATAATGTTGAAATAATGTGGTTGTACCAGTATACCAAAGAAAAATTTGCGTAAATATAGCAGATTAAAAACTTGTCGCGGGTCGTACTTTGGACAGCCCTGCTCTAATCAATCAATAGTAAGACAAACTTGTTGACTTTATACTAAATTCAAAGTAATAAAATTAAAGCCATATTCTTCTGAAACTGGTTAACATTTTATTTTCATTGATATACCTTTATCGAATACGATATTCAAAAAAAAAAAAATCTGATCCCGCACAGACTATTTGATCCTTTTTAATCTATTCGTAAACGAAATAACAAGTCAAAACCATTTTGTGTCTGATAATGAAATGCCAGAATCATTACCACCCAATTTAGACATTACCGTTCAGTTAATGACCAGCAAGTAATTACCAAGCCAACAAATACCGACATGATGACTGGGAATAATGAACAGTAAATGCCGAATTTATCAAGTCCATTTACGCGAAATATACGTGCAAATTCAATAGGCAAATTTGTTGTTTCAGAAATAATTCACAAAACTCAAATCGACCACAAAATTATTTTGAAATTTGTTAAACGCATTGCGGGCCAATATAACCAAAATGAAATCAAAAGAATGCAAAACTCAATGAAATTGAAAATGTGGAAATGTGGAAATATGGAAATAATGATATTTAAAATTGGCCGCAATTTTATTTTGTTGTGGTTATCCCCCTCGCAAAACAATGGGCGCCTAATGAAGCCACCACAACAAAAAAAGCCGCCTCTGTACAAAAAAGCAGCGCTGCATGCGGCTCCATTGTTTAGCGTTTGGGAATAAAATGAATATAAATGACCGGCCGCATATGCCAAATGTGGCCTTTATTCCTGCCTTTTGTTCGCAAATTAACTTAAAATTTTAATTCCCAAATAACTGCAGCAATTTTGTGTATTTAAACTAAACGCAATGAAAATTTGATACTAAAAAAGCGGGAAAAACCGCAGAAAACACTGCAAAAAATACTTACTCTAAAATGCGCGTAGTAATGACTATTTTAAACGCCACTTAGGGAGAACTACGCTCACCGATGCCCTGGAGTCCATACGGTCGGTACTCAATACTATTTTGCCAATGTTTTCACAAATTTTTTTTTTTTTTTTGTAATTTACACTAACAAATAAATAAATACCAACACGGATTCGAAAACAAATACATTTTCCGCATTTATTTAAATTTTTAAATGTTTTTTTTTTATATTTTTGTTTTTTATTTACAACTGCCAGGACATTTTATCCTTTTCTGATATGCAAATTGCCTTCACTTGCCGGCAGTAAAATTGGTTAGTTTATTTGTTTATTTATTTATTCACTTGTTTATTTTTTTAATTGTTAATGTTTTTTTGCTGCTTACCTCGTGGTATATTGACGTTAGCCTGTAATTAATCGAAATTTACACATACTATTTGATATTTAAATAATTAAATTAAATTAGTGAAAATTATTTAAATAGTGGTGACTGTTTTTATGAGGGGAGACCTATAATTTTGCAAGCTCTTTTATTAATTATTCTGTTTGTGCTCTCTATACACATAGAAAGTATCGCCTTTTAAGTTACAAGCTTCATAACAAACAATATTGACTGACATTGAATAAATAGTCTAATAAATATTTTTTTTCTAAAGTATAAATGGCACCTTTCGAAAAAATAATTTACTTCAATATATCAAATAAACCAACTATATAAATTATTTGACAAGATTTTGTATTTATGTATATAAATAAGT